ACTCCTCCCCTCTCTACCCTCCCTCCTCCATCCTTCCTTCCCCCCCTCCCTTTCCGACTGTGGCCCTCCCCCAGCTCGCACCTCCGGCGGCGGCTGCCCTAGCGTCCCCGCGGCCGCGGCGGGCGCGGCCTCCTTCCTGCCTCCTCCCTCCCTCCTTCCTCATTTCCCCTCCGCCTCCGCCTCCTCCCTCCTCCTCCTCCTCCTTCCTCCTCCTCGTCCAGGCCCAGCGGGACACAGGGGGGCAACGAGCTCAGAGATCACGCTGGGGGCCCGCGCGAGACTCAGACGGGCCACGAACTCAGAGTTCCGCGCTGCATCTTGACAGTGCCCAGGCTGGGCCTGGTCTCTACAGGCTTCTGAATCTTACACCTCCTCCTCCACCTCCTCGTCCTCGTCCTCTTCCTCTTCCTCCTCCTCCTCCTCTTCCTCCTCCTCCTCCTCCTCCTCCTCGTCCCCCCATTTCCTCCTCCCATGTCATCCCATCTCCTCCTCACTCCTCCCCTCTCTACCCTCCCTCCTCCATCCTTCCTTCCCCCCCTCCCTTTCCGACTGTGGCCCTCCCCCAGCTCGCACCTCCGGCGGCGGCTGCCCTAGCGTCCCCGCGGCCGCGGCGGGCGCGGCCACCGCAGCCGGCCGCCGCACGGCGGTGGCCATCGTGGCCGCGACGCGCCGGGGGTGGTCGAGGAGGAAGGGGAGGGAGGCAGGTGGGGAATGGGGCGGGAGAAAACTAGGAAGGGGTGAGAACAAGGGGGGGTATGGACAGGGAAGCGGAAGGGCAAGGGGAGGGGGAAGGAGGAGGGGGACGGAGGGACTAGACTAGACCCAAGCTGCATCAACGCTGCTGCACTACACCGCCCCGTCCCAACTCACCATCCTAGAAATCCCTGCAAGCTTTCTTTTTCAATACGCGAACCGCCCACTAAAAATACAACACACCGTGGATCTGCGAATTGGGCGAGAGCCCCGTTCAGAAACGGAAAGGCAGTGAATTCTTCTAGCGAGAACTACGGAATGCGACACAATATGACCATACACTGCAACGAGGTGTCCCAGCAAGATCCCCGTTTTAAAAAGGTCCCCCCCCATCTGCGGCATCCAGGCTCACTTGCTGATGGACCAGCGGGGGAGACGGGAAGATGAGCATGCTGGAGGCAAACTGACGCATGCTGGGATGCAGCATCGAGGTAGGGAATAATGGGGTAGGAAATATTGGGCAGGAGCTGGCTGAAGGCAAGAGGCAAGAGAGCGGGAGGGAAATGAAAAAGGGCACCCCCATGCCCCTTCTAATTCTCCGAGGGGGGCCGTGCACTTGTCATTTACAACTCGCGTGCCCACATGTACGGTGTACGGATGTACGGTAGACGGGTGCATGGTGTACGGAGCGTAGTATAGGACTCGGAATAAACGTAATACTGCAACTAGTATTAGTACTGGTACCAGTACGAGTACGATTTCGAACGATCGTAATATTAACCGTAGTACTAATACTATTAGTACTCGTAGTAGTAGTAGTAGTAGTAGTAGTAGTAGTAGTAGTAGTAGTAGTAGTAGTAGTGGTAGCAGTAGAAGTAATAGTAGTAGTAGTAGAAGTAGTAGTAGTAGTAGTAGTAGTAGTAGTAGTAGTAGTAGTAGTAGTAGTAGTAGTAGTAGTAGTAGCAGTAGTAGTAGTAGTAGTGGTAGTAGTAGTAGTAGTAGTAGTAGTAGTAGTAGTGGTGGTAGTAGTAGTCGTCGTCGTCGTAGTATTAAGAGTAACCAACGGTACATGGGAGTATGGGTCGTAGTAGTAGTAGTAGTAGTCGTTGTAGTAGTAGTTTTAGTAGTGAACGTAGTAGTAGTAGTAGTAGTAGTAGTAGTAGTAGTAGTAGTAGTAATAGTAGTAGTCGTAGTGACAGCAGTAGTGGTAGTAGTACTACTACTACTACTACTACTACTACTACTACTACTAGTACTACTAGTACTCGTACGAGTAGTACTGTTCGTAGTCATAGTAGTAGTAGTAGTAGTAGTAATAATAATAATAGTAATCGTCGTCGTCCTGATCGTAGTAGTAGTAATAATAATGGAAGTCGCAATGCTAGTCGTAGTAGTAGTAGTAGCAGTAGTAGTAGTAGTAGTATCAATAAGGGTAGTAGTAGTAGTAGTAGTAGTAGTAGTAGTAGTAGTAGTAGTAGTAATCGTAGTAATAGTGGTAGTACGGCTTGTAGTAGCGGCGGTAGTACTAATAGCCGTAGTACTAACACTATTCGTAAAACAAATACGAGTGGTAGCCGAAGTAGTTGCATGAGTAATAGTAGCCGTCGTCGCCGTTGTCGTAGTAGTCGCAGTAGTAGCAACAGGTCTTGAAGTAGTAGTAGTAGTAGTGGTAGTAGTCGTCGTCGTCGTAGTAGTAGTAGTGATAGTAGTAGCAGTGGTAGTAGTCGTAATAGTAGTAGAGGTCGCCGTCGTCGTCGTTCCACTCGTAGTAATAGTGAAGTAGGAGAAGTGGTAGGGGTAGTAACCGTTGTAGTCGTAGTCGTAGTAGTGGCGGCGGTACTAGTCGTGGTAGTCGTAAAACTAAATGTCGTAATCGGTGTAGCAGTAGTGGTAAAAAATATGAATTCGCCAATAAGAGGTTGCCTCTGTAGGGGTCCTAGCATATTCATATGTGTAGGTGATCTGCGTCGCCGATTTCGGTGGCCAGGCCCAGGTGCCCGGGTGCCCGGTAGCCCTCTAGCTATGTAGCCCAATCGCCTTATAACCCTGTAGCCCCGCAGCCATATAGCCCTACGGCCCAGATAACCCGATAGCCTTATAGCCCAATAGCCCAATAGCCCTATAGCCTTACAGCCCTATAGCCCTGTAGCCCTATAACCCCATAGTCCCATAGCCCTCGTGCCCTATAGCCAAATAGCCCTATGAGCCTATAGCCTTATAGCCCTATAACCATATAGCCCTGTAGTCTTATAGCCTTATAGCCCTGTAGTTTGATCGCCCTATAGCCTTACAACCCCATAGTCTGATAGCCCCATAGCCTTATAGCCCTATAGCCCTGACAATAATAACGGAGTTGGGCATTTCTCTGGTATCATGATACTGTTTGTGACACTAATCATAATACTACTAATAGTAGCGGCATAGTATACGTAGTCGAAATAATAATATTAATGCTGATCATAATACTAGTAGTAGTCGCCGTGCGTAGTAGCAGTAGTCTCAATAACTGTATAGTCGTACTAGTAGAAGCGGCGAAGGTGATCGTGATAGCAGTAGAAGTAGCCACCGTCGTCTTATTGGCGCAAATCAGATTAGTAAGTATAAGAATCGTCGTCGTAGTTGTAGCAATAGTGGTAGTAGAAGGCCTACTGGTAATAAGCTTTATCGTAGTCGCAATCGTGATAAGTTTCGTAGTTGTCGTAATCGTGCTTGTAGTAGAAGTGAGTGTTAGTAGTAGTAAAAGTAGTAGCAGTAGAAGTAGTAATATGAGTAGTATTAGTAGTAGTAGTAGTAGCAGCAGTAGTAGTAGTAGTAGTAGTCGTAGTAGTAGTAGTAGTAGTAGTAGTAGTAGTAGTAGCAGCAGCAGTAGTAGTAGTAGTAGTAGTAGTAGTAGTAGTAGTAGTAGTAGTAGTGGTAGTAGTAGTAGTAGTAGTAGTAGTAGTAGTAGTAGTTAGTAGTAGTAGTAGTAAGTAGTAGTAGTAGTAGTAGTACAGTAGCAGTAGCAGTGGTAGTCGTAGCACTCGTAACGGTAGTAGTAATAACATTCGTAGTAATAGTAGTAGTAGTAGTAGTAGTAGTAGTAGTAGTAGTAGTAGTCGTAGTCGTAGTAGTAGTAGTAAAAGTAGCCGTGGTAATAGTCGTAGTGGCAGTAGTAGTAGTAGTAGTCGTCGTCGTAGTCATAGTAACCGTAGTAGTCGAAGTACTAGAAGTAGTAGCCGTAGGAGTAGTAGTACTGGTAGAAAGTGACAGTACTAAAAGTAGTAGTAATAAATGTCGTAGTCGTAGTAGACACTGTAATGCTGGTCGTCGAAATCCGAGTCGTAGTCGTAGTAGCAGTAGAAGTAGTAGTCGACGCAGCCGTAGGGGTTGTGGTAGTAGTCGTAGTCGTAGTAGTAGTACTACAAATAATATCAATACTACCCATAGTAACAATAATCGGCGTCATGGAAGTAGTATTGCAATAAGAAGCGCGGTCAAATTGGTAGGAATAGCAATCGTAGACGTAGTCGTAATAATAATATTATTGGTGGTACCAGTAGTACTAAGAGCGATAGCAGTAGTAGTAATAGTAGTATTAACAACCACAAATTGTAATCGAAATAGCGGTCGGAGTGGTAGAGGTAGTAGCCGTAACAAGACCAGTCGTAGTAGTAGTAATCTATCGATGGCAGTAGCAGCATTAGTCGTATTTATATATCTAGCGAGTAGCAGTGATAATCGTACTCATAGTAGCCGTAGTAGTAGTAGTAGTAGTAGTAGTAGTAGTAGTAGTAGTAGTAGTAGTAGTAGCAGTAGTAGTAGTAGTAGTAGTAGTAGTAGTAGTATTGATAGTAGTACTAGTCGTTGTCGACGTAGCAGTAGCAGTAATCCTCTTAGACGTGGTGCGTAGTAGTAGAAGTAATAGTAATAGAAAGAGTCGCGCTCGCAGTGGTAGTGATGATAGCATTAGGGGGATGGAAGAAAGGATGAAGGAGGAGACGGGAAAAAATCATGTAGAATATGTGAATTTCTGGAACTTGCAGCTTGTTCCAAGAACCACACTGATGCAGGATCGTCTCGAAGTCCTGTCATAAAGGAGCTCATCTCATTGAAGCGAACAGTCATACCCCCCGGTTTTCTTTGCGCCGGGAAGAAGAAGAAGTAGTAGTAGTAGTAGTAGAAGTGCTAGAAGTAGTAGAAGTAGTAGAAGAAGTAGTAGTAGTAGTAGTAATCATAATAATAGTTGTAGTCGTAAAAATAATACTAGTATTCGTAGTTGTAATAGTCGTAATCGTGGTAGTAGCGGTAGCAGTAGTCGTGCTAGTAGTGATAGTGCTAATAATACCAATAGTAGTAGTAGTCGTAGTAGTAGTAGTAGTAGTAGTAGTAGTAGTGATAGCAGTAGTAGTAGTAATACTAATGGTAGTAGTAGTAGTAGTAGTAGTAGTAGTAGTAGTAGTAGTAGTAGTGGTACGAATAGTAGTAGTAGTAGTAGTAGTAGTAGTAGTAGTAGTAGTAGTAGTAGTAGTAGTAATAGTAGTAGTAGTGATAGTAGCAATAGTAATAATGGTAGTAGTAGTAGTATATAGTAGTAGTAGTAGTAGTAGTAGTAGTAGTAGTAGTCGTCGTAGTCGTACTCGTAGTTGTGGTAGCAGTAGTAGCAATGGTAATAATAGAATTTAGTGAACAAAATACAAGAAGACAGTCGGTTATAGCACTCGGAGTTGCAGCAGTCAAAACAGTAGTAGTAGTACTACTACTACTACGCCTAATAGTGGTCGTCCTAGAATTGACAGTAATCTTGGCAGCAATAGTCGAAGTGGTAGCACTAGTCGTATTAGACGTAGCAGTAGCAATAAAGTAGTAGAAGTAGTCATCGTACTACGACTACTACTACTACTGCTACTACTACTACTACTACTACTGAGAGTCGTGTGAATCGCAGTAGTGGTCGAAGTATTTGTAGTAGTAGGAGGGGTCGCAGACATGAGAGTAGTCAGTAATAGTCATAGAGGTACTAGTAGTCGTAGAAGTAATGGTAATCGTACTAGTAGTAGTAGTAGTAGTAATAGAAATCGTAGTAGTAGTAGTCGTAGTAGTAGTCGTAGTAGTAGTAGTACTATAGTGGTCATGGTGGTAGTAAAAGCAGTACTACTACTACTACTACTACTACTACTACTACTACTAGTAGTAGTAGTAGTAGTAGTAGTAGTAAACGTACTAGTCGGTAGTAGTAGTAGGACTAGACGTCGCCGTAGTAGTAGTAGTAGTAGTAGTAGTAGTAGTAGTACTACTACTAATGATGGTAGTAGTCGTAGTAGTAGTAGTAGTAGTAGTAGTAGTAGTAGTAGTAGTAGTGGTAGTAGTAGTAGTAGTACTAGTCGTAGTCGTAGTAGTCGTAGTCGTAGTAGTAGTGGTAGTAGTAGTAGTAGTAGTAGTAGTAGTAGTAATAGTAGTAGTAGTAGTAGTAGTAGTAGTAGTAGTGGTGGTGGTAGTAGTAATAGTAGTAGTAATAATAATTTAGTAATCGTAGTAGTAGTTGTGGTAGTAGTAGTGGTGGTAGTAGTAGTAGTAGTAGTAGTAGTAGTAGTAGTAGTGGTTGTAGCAGTAGTGGTGGTAGTAGTCGATTATTGGTAATCGCAATAATAATTGTAATGTAAACGTAGTATTTATATAAGTAGTCGCCGTCGTCGTCACCATAGTAGCAGTAGTAGTGGTAGTCCTCGTACCAGTAGTAGTAGTAGTAGTAGTAGTAGTAGTAGTAGTAGTAGTAGTAGTCGTAGTAGTAGTAGTAGTAGTAGTAGTAGTAGTAGTAGTAGTGGTAGTAGTAGTAGTAGTAGTAGTAGTAGTAGTATGATGATTAATAGCAGTAGTAGCAAACTGTGGAATGTTGAACGAGCGCTGCTCATCATACGATGATAGCAACTTTCATTCGCACCTTCCCCGGCGGTAACGAAAGTCAGCTTCGCCGCTCCTCTACTCCGACCAACCCTGTCTTGGCCCAGAATAATCAACGCTCAGGTGGGAAGAGGGGAGTTGCTATCTTATGCTGGGCGCTCGGTTCGAGAGGACGGGGAGGGGAGCGCACAGCTTGGGGATGGACTGGACGGGGGAGGGAAGTGGGAAGTGGGGGAGGGGGCAGAAGGCGGGGGCAGCAGCTGCGCCAACCAGGGCGGCGCACGCCGCGCTGCACAGCTGAAGAAGCAGGAGTGCGGGCGGCGCGAGCTACTAGGAGGAGAAGGGGCGATGGGGTCGCCCCTTTGTTCCCAGCTATCCTGTGGTGTTGGGCCCTTGTTTTGAAGAGACGGTCCAGGCGTTCCTTCCTTTCTTCTTCCTTCTTTCTCCCCTCCTCCCTCCGCCCATCGTCATCATCCGCTTCAGCACAACCCCCACACGTTTCGTGGCCCCATAGGGAGCTCCACCGAAGGTCCCAGTGCTGCCGGCCGCATGAGTCCCCCCCCCCAGTACCGCGCTTCGTGGCCCCATAGGGAGCTCCACCGACGGCCCCAGTGCTACCGCCAGCATGCGTCCCCCTCCAGGACGACCCACCCAGTGCAGCGTTTCGTGGCCACCGAAGATCCCAGCGCTACCGCCCGCATGCGTCCCCCCCCCCACACAGTGCAGCGTTTCGTGGCCCCATGGGCAGCTCCACCGAAGGTCTCAGTTCTACCGCTCGCATGCGTCATCCCACCAAGTGCATCGTTTCGTGGCCCCATTGGGAGCTCCACCGACGGCCCTAGTGCTACCGGCCGCATGCGTCCCCCCCACCCAGTACAGCGCCCCATTGGGAGCTCCACCGACGGCCCCGGTGCTACCGGCCGCATGCCCACCCAGTACAGAGCTTCGTGACCCCGTTGGGTGCTCCACCGACGGCCCCAACGCTACCGCCCGCATGCGTCACCCCACCCAGTGCAGCGCTTCGTGGCCCCGTAGGGAGCTCTACCGAAGAAGATATTCAACATTGCGGTGCTCACAACTGCATATGGTTGGGTCGTCACAAATATAATGTTTGATTCCGGCCGGGAGTGGCCTTGGGCGACCCTTGGCGAGTTGTCTTCCCTCACCTTCCACTGCTGTTCTCGGCGTTCGGCCGAGCGTGTCCAGGCCAGTGGCAGACCGTCGCCTACATTTGCAAGAAGGGAGGGGCAGGGCGAGAAGGTGGGCACTCCAGAAGGCAACGGCCTCTGTCTGGAGAGGCCTCCGAGAAGGCATCCAGGACTGCAGGAAGCCTCCCAAGTAGGCGGGGTGCCTACTCTCCAGCCGCCCTCCCCCCTGGCCCTGCCGCCCGTGGCGCGCGGCCAAAGCTGCTGCGCCGGCTCTGCGCGCACGACTTGAGCACTGGTCCCCACACCTTGCCTCCCAGGCTCTCGAGCAAGGCCTCGACAGAAGGCGTGCACCAATCTTGCAGCTGAATCAGTCACACCGGATGAACTGCAGCCCGTGCTCGTTCGGGGAACGGCTCGCTTGACTCGACGACCGCTCAGACGACCAGTGGGCATGACGGGCATTCGAGGAACGCGAGGGCGCTACAAAGCTACTTCGGCTGCCAAACACTGGCTGGTCTCAACAGAGGGGTTGGGTTGCCTCCACCTGCCTCCGCAGAAATTCCCGACGGCCCTCGCCGAAGGCAGACATTTACCCTTGCAAAGCCTTCTCCGATGAATCCGTGCATCTCAATGAAACGAATATTTGTTGGGTGCTCTTCAGCCGATCTTCGAAATATGATGACCCTGTCTTGTAGCGTTGCTTCCTCTCAGGAGTATAAGAATGTCCACGAGGTGTTGCGCGAGCGCTGGAAACAATGAAGAAGGTGAGCGGTGGAGTGGGGGACAGACCAACATGAAAGTGCAGTCGCGCCCACACACACAAATAATTACACACATACGTTCGACAATGCACTTTAAGACATGCCCGGTAGCCTCTGGTGGAACAGCCGAGCGGCAGATATAATGTACTACCTGCGACCTGGCGCAAACAGACGGCGGTACAACATCTAATTTTCCGGGTGTTGTTCCCATTGAAGTCTTAATTATCCGCTCGATTCGCACAATGCGGAAACCATGCTCCCTCACCGTCCTGTGAGACGACTCGAAGGGAACAGAAATACAAACTTGGCAATCAATAGTGCAACCTTGCTCGTCCCTGGACAAGGTCCGAGGGATATGCACGAGGAGGTTCGCAGAGGTGTCATCATAAGGGATCTGGGCGTCTGCGAAGTCCCCCCAGAAGACGCGTGTCGTGCTGGCCCTCCCACCGCGAGATAATCACACACACGCACGCAAATGCTGTGGCTTGACAAGTCCACCCGAACCAGAGACCGCTCCCGTCGCCGATACAGGAGTCAAGAGCCCTGCTCTCTTCCTGCGCCTGCTGCTGCTCCTCCCAGTCCTCCTCCCCCCGTGGCGAGGCAGCGGCGCGTCATGGCAAGAAGGAAAGAAGGGTCGGATGTCCGCGAGGCTTGGCCGCCGATGAACGACCTAAACCACTGCATGAGCGCCTCCCCCCCGTCTCTGAGAGGCGCGGGACGGGTGAGCAGCAGCAGCGGCAGCAGTAGCAGTCCGTAGCCTCGATGGCTTAGCAGGTACAGCGCTCACAGCCCCCACGGCTCCCCTTCTGGCTACTGGAGGAGGCGCGCTCTGGCGCGGTGCTGCGAACAAAACATCGCCAGTCGAGGTTGAAGCTTCATATTGCAGCGAACATGAGCGCGGAGGAGTGCGGTGGAAGAGGAGGGGTAGAAATAGGACGACGTTGTTAATGACTATCACAAGGACGCTGATGATACGGATTACGCTGGCAAAATTGCTTACATATGGTGATGCTCATGGTGACGAGACAGACCTCAAGGCGGTTCCGAATAGCGCAAGTATTGCCGAGGCTGGGGAAATAGTTGCTCTCGCTAACCCAGCTCGATCATCAATCGGCCAGCCAGGTATGTCATAGCCGTTGCGTCCAGCCCACCACCCCTGGCGAAGGAGGAGCAACAAGAGGATGTCTTTCTGAATACGTCTCAAGGAGCCCCCCTTTGCGGCGGGATAGGCTCCAGACGTGCTGTTCTCTGCCAGGTGCTCATGCACAAATTCTCCTTCAGATCGGCATCGATGGCGTGGTCAACACAGCCAACGGAGGTGGCAAAGTCCAGCAACGCACTCTCACCCTTGATCACGCCATCCACTGATACAGTAACCCACACCGACGTGGGCATGAGAGTAAGAACTCGTGCGGATCGAAGCTTCAACGAAAAGGTTCAGCGCCAATGCTTACGCCTTGATGACAGTTGAGTGCTCCTTCGGGCGCCGCCGCTGGCGTTGGCGCCCGCCCCGTGCCCCACCAGCCCTCCTCCTCGTCGTCCACCTCCTCCTCCTCCTCCTCCCCTTCTGACCTCCCACCACGACGACGCGGATACCTGGGCCAGACCCTACTCCCCGCACCCGCATGGACAAAAGAAAAAATGCCACGCACGACAGGCGTGCGACTCGAACCGATCAACGCCGCAGCGCATGGCGCGCGCGCGATTCCTGAAGACACATCCCCTCAAGAGCAGGCCCCCACTGCGGCCCCAGGGAGTCCTGAAAGAGGCCCAGCGTGCTCCCCGACCAGCCGCGACCCCCTACGCACGCGAGCCCCATGGACCACCCGAGAGCCTCCTCCTCCTCCTCCTCCTCCTCGTCCTCCTCTTCCTCCTCCTCCTCTATCTCCTCGCCCTGTCTCTCTTGGATGACCCCGACAACCACCAATCAACTCCCAAATGCCTACGAGGCTCCAGAGTGGCCCCGGCGACCCGAGGACAGTCCAAGCGGGACACTCGAGCCTCCGCCGAAGCCGTTGGCACCCAGCAAGCACAACCAGGGCGTGCTGCTCAAAGCGCGATGAATTCGACAACCCCATTCGGAGGCGAGCCCGGGAGGAAGTCAGAGGGCTCGGGCCTCCTCAAAAACCTCGGGTGACCTCCAGCCATCCGGTCCATGTGCTAAGTCTTCCCCTGAATGCAGAGGCGGCTCATCACACGGGCGGAAGTATCTGAGAAGCCCCGCCGCCTTCTGAGGAGGCTTGCCCCGTCTCTGTTCCCCCCCCCCCCCGGGGCGCGCGCCCATCCACTGCGGTGGATGCCTACGCACCCTTACAAGTGTCAGCGTGCGATGGGGCCCGTACCCCCCGGCAAATGCCCCACAAACTGCTGCCTTGCCGTGCGTCTGCCCGTCCCGGCCGTGACGGCGCTGGCACTCGGAAAGCTAACACGAAGGAGTGCCTGTATCGTCCACTCCTGCGGCACAGAGAGTGAGAGAGAGAGGGAGAGAGAGAAAAAAAAAAAACAACCATGATAAAATGAGAAGGGGAAGCAGCTCAAGCTCGGAGGCACGCGCGACGGATATGTGGGAGGAAAAACATGTGATGCTCGTGGGGTCCAACATGCAAAGCTCATGGCGTAGGCGTGCCACGGAAACCAAGAAGATGCGGAGGGTGAGCAGCAGCAGGAAGAGAGAGCGGAAGACGGGAGCAAAAAGGAGTAAGACGGTGTGAAGAACGAACGAGGAATATGATAACACAGAGGAGGAGGAGGAGGAGGAGAAGGAGGAGGAGGAGGAGGAGGAGGAGGAGGAGGAGGAGGAGCTACCTCGCTCGCTCTCGCCCATTCAAGTCAATTCCTGATCTACTTGCTCTACATATCCGGGAACCTGGAAGGGGGTATCGACTGGTTGCGATCAACCCTCTGCTCTGCAAGCCTCGGAAATCGAGCACCGCGCGACCCACAAGGGCCGGCAGATGACCAAGTAGAGAGGTCGCTGCACGGTACTGGCCAGGGCCTGAACAGGCCTTAGGACACGCCTGGGCCGAGCACGGAAACTCATAACTGCAAACGGCAGCCCCTTGGGGGCTGAGAAACATTCAACGCTAAAACTATCGATTTGCGCTTTGGCATGATCTTCCTGGCCAGGTTGCCGCGGGAAGCCTTACTGACTGTCGTCTCTCCCCCCGCATGCCTCACGAGTTCCCCGACCAAAACCTCAACCTGGATCATGAGCCGTTTGGTCTGCAGCAGGGCGGTCGGAAGCTCCAGCGGCGTTTTCACGTGCAGCAGGTGCTTGGGCTTGGGGTCTGATATGGCGGCCAACACTGCTCGCTGATCTTCCTCGATGTCTGGCGCGACGCCAGTACCTGACCTAGGAATTTGATCTGCTCTTTTGCAGCTGACCTGGCTTGTCGCATGTCGGGAACACTGCTGCCTCTTTGATCCATAGTGCTGCTTGATCGGGCCCTGCTTGCTTGATGAGATCTGCTAGTCAGGTGATGCCGAAACTCAACTTCAAACACCACTCCGAATTGCCCTTGACGGGTCATTCTTTCAAACCGAGAAGATTCGAGTAAGCTGCTCGAGACGCAGGCGAGCCCAAGTCCGTCCCGAGGTCGTCCTTGCGCTGCTTCGCGATCTTTTAGTGCGACTTGTTGCAATCCTTCACTCTCTGGTGCTTGCGGTCTAGCATGGCGGTGGACACTGGCTCGCGCTCCAGCAGGCGCACTCCGGCCTCGGGTTGGACGGTCAGCGCCCTCACGATGGAAGGCCATGCAAAGAAAATGATATTCTGTGGAATGTGCTCCTCTGGCACAGCAGCGCGCGCGATGAACTCTCGGGCGGCCCCTCGCCCGAAGACCAGATCAATGTCGGCGGCGCCGGCCACAAAGAGGTTTGGAGCCCGAGAGTCCACGCGCTGTCGCGGGCGTCGTCGCGGCGGGCCCGCTGTATCCTCAGCGTGGAACGCCTCGAGTCTTGATGACAGAGATGGTGGTGATCCGTGGCTGAGGTTCTCTGCGTCGACGTCAATCAGGCCCATGGGAAAAAAAGCCCACGGCAGTTGCGAACGGAGGGGCCCCGCTTCATCCTCTTGTGTTCACGTCTTCTCATGCGACTTGTCGGGGTCCAACGCGCCCTGGGGTGCGCACTCCCCTCGTCGGCTCATTCCAGCATGATATAGCATCGCGCCCGCGGGCTCCTCGCCGGGCTCCTCCAAATGAAGATGATACCTTGCTATCACGCGGGTGCGCTCTTGCTCGGGATCTTCTCGTAGCCAGAGTGAGCCATGTGCTGTGGAGTTCCACGCCCCATGCGCATAGAGCTCCTCGTCTCGTTGTTGCTGAGGAGATGCATCATGCGCAAGTGTCGCCACTCGCGCATGGATCTCAACCTCCGTTTGAATAGAGCAAATGTCCGAAGGGCGTCAGTGAGGGCGCGGATCAACCAAGTATAAGGACGGCACGGCGATGTTCAGAGGCCTCGACGTCGAGGCCGATCACGCAGCCACTGGTTACGCGTGGAAGGTAGCTCCCGCGGGGCATAGTACCCTAAGGGCGTTGGGTTGTTAGACAGACTCCAATTGATCGAAGGCAAACGGTATCGAGGCCAGGATCCGGCACAGGTTCGAAAACTTCCTGGTTCGACAACGCAGCGGTGGGAACTGGCCTGTCGTCGGATTGGTGCAAAGATGCTGCTGTTGGGTACTGCATGCTGCCGTCGTCGGAAATTTTGAAATATTGCGTGCCATATACCACTGCGTCTTAGTGCCGCTCCCGGCGGAAGTAGAGCTTCAGATTCTTGGTCTCTGAGAGCTGGGGCCGCGCCCCCACGAGCCAATCGTCGATGGCGCACTGTTTGTCGCGACGCTGCTTCACAACTGACTCAAACATCCAAACAAAACAGTGTCCCAACATGTATCTGGTCGTTATTTTCGTGCAGGTATGGGAGGTGGAATTTTCTTGAGAATGCCTGCCCGCGTCGCTAGCCCTCGAGGCGAAGGCAGTCGCGGACCAGGTGTTGCGAAGACGCGCATTTCAGGCAGGTCATCACCTTCGCGTCAGTTCCAACTGGCTCCCTTGTCGCTTTTGAAAACTCCCAATTGACCGCCGGCGACTTTTGGCTAATTTTCCTTGGCCTCTGCCGCGGCCGCCGAAGAACAATTCCTCGTAGGCTTCGTCGTTGTGCCGTGACACATGTTGAGATACCTTTGCCTGTGAGACGCTAGCGACCTCGTTGACCTCTGCGGCCCTTGTTATTGAAAGTGCGCTTGATGAACCTACGCGTCCGCCGCGCGGGCTTGCGCATGCATGCCCTCCATCTGCCGCTGGCGCACTGCTCGACGTAGAATAATTCCTGTGCGTGTTCTGATTCAAGAAAGTCGGCGAGGTCGCCCCACGTGTAGCTGGTATCGCGTAGGGAGGAAACGGCGTCTGCATCGGTGCCGCTGTCGATCTCCTCTGTAGGGGTTTCCCACGAAGTATATATTTGTATATACTGGAAGCGCTCCGGATGCGGATGCTGTTGGAGCAATTGCTGGTGGAGCCCAGGCGATCAAGTTTCCGTGTGCCCTTGGAAAGGTTCACATGTCAATGATCCTGCTGCAAGCGGTCCTGGTTGTTCCCGTGTCCTTTTCCATGCAGTAGATGTCCCGCGCCGGTACTGTAAAACGTATGACACTGCGCCTTGGTCCCCTCATGGGTGCGTCGATAAGTCCCGGCAATCGTTATACGATAGGTCGTCTTCTCCAAATGGATCCAAGTAGCGGATCATACTCCATGTGTGTGCGCGGCATGATTTCGTTGATAGGCTGCAGCACTGACGAAACCTCTTGAGGTGGCACCCGTAGCGCACGCACAACGGTAGTGAAGAAAAACTGAACAATGAACAGACCAAACCCGGCATATTGCGCTTCCAACCTGACAATGTCCACCCTGGCTGGGATGCTGTCAAACCGTTCACTTTGATGTATGCAGAAGTCAATGAATCCGAGGCGGCGGTGTAGATGTCCTTCGTCTTCCAATATTTCGAACATCTGGGATAGGTACCACGGCAAGTAGGTGACAAGGTCCGCGCGTACCTCGTTGACTTCGGCGCCAACAGATGATGGCAGCCGAGAGGATCCGCACGGCGAGAGAGTCCCCGCCAGTCCCTGCATACCACGTTGTAGTGTTGCTGTTTGCTGTTGTGGCGCCATGTGTCCTGAGTGGACGTGGAGCCAACCGTGTACCTCTATGACCCACGTGCCGTATGGAACGTTTCCTGCAGGGTCCCATCAGGGACCCCGTGATTGATCTGCCTAACGTTCTCGCTCTGTGTGGCTAATGATGGCCGATGCTCGGGGCGGTCAGGCCATGCAACATGAGTCCAGTGTAGAGTTAATATGGTAGAAAGGGTACTGGTGGTGAAAGCAAATGTGGATGGGTTGGTTGTGCGTCCACGAATGTCAGGAGCGTCGGGGTAGTTCAGGGGGCTACTGTCGTGATTCCGCGTCCAGAGAAGTTGAAGAAAGTCGTGTGGCCGCGCCCGTGGTAGGCAGGCTGGAGATGCGGTAGTCGAGAAATCCGTTGAAGTCGCAGTAGAAGCCCCTTGTGCACTTAAAACCCTGGCCGGCGCAGGCGCGGTCGCAATGGTGGCGCACTACTTGGTGATGGGATTCTGGGCGCCGGAGAGGGCGTCCGCGCTGCTTTTCACAATGGTGTTGTCTATGTCGCCTCCGCCGCGGAGTCGCAGGCGACCTGTACATTCGTGGTCGTAGCACACCAGGGTGTAGAGCGCGAGGGCGGCAGAGCAGCCGCAGGCGCGACAGCTTCGCTGCCAGTAGCATCGCATGTTGTATTGGATGAGAGAGGTAAGAGTAGGAGGTGGCGCGGAGGGGAGAAAGGTCTTTTCTTCTTCCGAACCGCCTCGAATAGGTCACCGCTGTGGTGACGTCAGATATGGTGGCGCCTTATTGAGCCAATGCGGCGGAGAGGCAAGCAAAGTGAGACACACACACACACTTTATATATAAATATATATGTAATAAATATCGATGAATCATGCTCCCCCTCGGAGCGTTCCCATCAGGCCCCGAAGATGGCCCCAGGCGGCCCCAAGGGGACCTCCAAGAACGCCTCCAGATTCACACAAACATGTTGTTCCAAACCATCCTGTGGTGTCGGGTCCTCGTTCAGAATCAGACAGCGCCCCGCGTCACTCACTAACTCCTCATACATCCTCCCCCTCCTCCCTCCCTCCTCCAGCTGCCTCCATTTCGGCGCACCCCTCACACGGTTCGTCGCCCCATTGGGTGCTCCACCGAAGGCCCCAGCGGCAGGGCCCTCATGCAGCTCCACCCCCATGTCGGCGCACCCCTCACACGTTTCGTGGCCCCATAGGGTGCTCCGCCGAAAGCCCCAGTGGCAGGGTCCGCATGCAATTCCACCCCCATGTAGGCGCACCACTCACACGCGCCGTGGCTCAATTGGGTGCTCCACCGAAGGCCCCAGCGGCAGGGTCCGCGCGCAATTCCACCCCCATGTCGGCGCACCCCTCACACGTTTCGTGGCCCCATAGGGTGCTCCGCCAAAGGCCCCAGTGGCAAGGTCCGCATGCAATGCCACATTCATTTCGGCGCACAGCTCACACGGGTCGTGGCCCAATTGGGTGCTCCACCGAAGGCCTCAGTGGCAGGGTCCGCATGCAGTTCCACTTTCATTTCGGCGCACCCCTCATACGATTCGTGGTCCCATAGCGCCCCAAGTCGGCCCACAGAAGCTCCATAAAACAGTGTAAGAGACCCCCAAGACGGCCAAACAGGACCCCGAGAGAGCCCCAAGGCGGCCCCGACGGTGCCCGTACAAAAAGTGTCCACGCCGACGGCGTGAAGACAATCAGGCATGATGCCAACGACAAATGCAAGATATATATATATATATATATATGTGTGGCTCGCCACCCCTCACCCCCAAACCCAAAATTGAAGTGTCCATGTGTTGTTCCCCGCGCGTTGCCTCGCATCCAACCCCGTCAACTTTGGGTTGGGGGGACGGGGCCTATGGCTATCTGCTCGACGCAGTTCGATGTCGTATCATCTTGGCACGATGAGTGTGGACACTTTTTGTCCACCCACCGGAGAGGGTCCCAAAACGGCCACCGACGGGTCTAGACGACGCAAGAGCGCCCCAAGACGGGCCAAGACGCACCCAAGAAGCCAGCTTCCACAGGGACCCCAACAGGCTCCCAGGAGTCCCATCAACGACTGGACTGCACGTGGTCCGGACATGCACCACGCCAAGCGAAAGGAATCCGCCAGCCCACCAGGCTGAAGTCCCAGCATCGAGAACCCTTTCGGGGCTGCAGCGCCACCCCCTCCTTCCACCCTTCCCTGGCCGGGGGTCACGTGGGAGCCTCTCCTAGAAGCATGTCGGGTTGTTTCCTTTTGGGGCGATTCGGGACCCAACTTGGGTCCCCAATCGGGGTCAAACCTGCCGCGGCACAGGTCCAGAGTGGAATGACATCCCACTAGCCCTTTAAGGCGTGAGTGGGATTTCTCTCTGCCACAACCCTTCTTCCCATGCTCGGGGGAAGGGTTTATTACTGCTCCCTGTTCCTTAATCAGTGCTGGTGTCTGTAGGGGTCCTAGCGGACTCATATGGTTGGTGCCCGGGTGCCCATGTGAGGTTTGCCGCCAATTTCCGCGGTGCCAGGGTGCTGCCTGGGTGCCCAGGTGCCAAGGTGCCCGGGTGCCTTATAGCCCTAGGGACCTATAGCCTTATAGCCATATAGCCCCATTGCCCTATAGCCCGATAGCCCTATTGCCATATAGCCCTATCGACCTTTTACCCTATTGCCCTATAGCCCAATAACCCAATAGCCCTATAGCCCTATAGCCCTATAGCCCCATAGCCTTATAGCCCTATAGCCCGATAGACCTATAGCCCAATCGCCCGATAGCCCTATAGTCCTGTAGTCCTATAGCTCTATAGCCCTGTAGCCGAATAGCCCAGTAATCCTAGATGCCTATAGCCCTGTAGCACTATAGCCCTATTGTCCTATAGC